TTTAAAACTGGTCTGACAGAGTTTCAGTCTATGTTAAGCTGCTCTGACACAATCTACATTGTAAAAGATTTTTTGATTGTGTTTGATTTTTTTTTATACGACTCGCTTACATCATCATACAAAAGTGACTTGTTTTCAGTATCTGGATTTACACTATACACTGCAAAGAGGTACAGTACTGACCAAGTAAAAAAACAGAGTGGCCACTAACTGACAGGATAATCAATGAGCACTCTTTAAGTGTCTCTTTGTAGAGTTTTTGTTTTATGTATAAAGTTTACTTACATACGGTTTTATTTCTATTCTTTCAACACTTTTGTAACTTAATCTTAAGTTGATTTGTATAGTTTATGACCAAAAAGTTCACTTATGCTAATACTTTGGTTCATATTAGAAGACTGCATCAAGTGAGTAGAAGACTGCATTTTGCTGTCTGATTTATAATGCCTCTTGGGCTAACCAATGCTCCTGAGCTTTTCCAGGAGTCTCATTAAGGATATGCTTATGGACATTTTCATTTGTGAAAACACTTTCAAACGTGTCTGTCTTGATGAAATATTATGTAGATTTGTTTTAATAGATTGATTTCTACAGGTTCATACTTCCCAACTATGATTTTTCTAATTTCTGAAAGCTCTAATTGAAACTGAAGTGATGTGGCCAAGTTTTGTGTGCCATAATCATAATCTGTACCTTGCATTTAACTCATCTGTGTGTACACACTCATACAGTAATGAACAGACACATCAATGCAATTCAGAGTGTGCTGTGTTCCACTGTTTTAAAATCTTAATAAACCAACATAATATCAAAGGAGGGCGTCGTAGTGGTGCAGATAGTGCTGTCGCCTCACAGCAAGAAGGTCGCTGGGTCACTGGTTCGATCCTCGGCTCAGTTTCTTTGTGGAGTTTGCATGTTCCGCCTGCATTGAATGAATGAATATCAAAGAAGGCTTAAAGTCTGTATGTGAAAGAAATCTAAGTAATCAAATTGCAAAAAAAAGCAAAAAAAATAATAATTAAATGGGTTAGACATATTGAGGGTGGATGAGAAAATCCCCTCCTATGTGTAAAGTGCTTTAAGTGCCTAGAAAAGTGCTATATAAAAAAAAGGAATGTAAGGAATATTCTTCAGAGGTAGCTACAGTCTGTGTTGTTTATCAAGAGGGAGAAACATGTTATTCATACAGATTCTGTTAACTAGTTTTGTCCAGCAGACATTCAGACTGGTAAATAGCACAGCTCTGGATACTGTTTTCACTTGTGCCAATATTCAGCAGCATTTAATTTACAATTACAGTCAACTCTTAAGTCTTTGAACTGTACCAAGCCTTCATTTATTTGGTCCAGAAAAGCAATGGCAGCTCTTGATGGTTCAAAGAGTTTTTTTTTTTTTTTTTTTACTCCAGGCAGGCTTTTGTTTTCAATGAGTTAAAATTGTTCATCTCAAATTCTACAGGTTCCAAAAACATAAAGTCCCACACCCTGCCTTCATGTTTGATCTATCCATGTGCCTGGTTTTCCCCACTTTTATCATACTTAAGTTATGTAAAAACTGGAGAAAAAAAGGTTTGTGATGACTGTGTCATCACACTGTGTCAGATATTTGGGCCAGAGAATTAGCCGTTTGAGGTCATTTCAATGGGATCATTGCTCTATATTAGCTTGTCGTCCATAAAGAGCCAGACATAATCTGTAAAAAAATTTTTTGCTTTTTCAGCACACAATTTTATAAAAAATAAAATAAAATCTGCAGATTTATGCTAAATGATTTTGGGATTATTTTAACAAAAACATAATATATGAAATAAAATAAAAACTTTTATTCAATGTTTACAATGCAAATTAGATCCACTTATTTGGTAAAGTCTCTCATATAATATATCAACTAAAAGACAGAAAACATTACTTTACAAATTATATTGTAAATAAATCATATGAACATTTTTATATTAGTCAATAATATTACTGAAATTTATTTTTAAAAACAAATATACGTTTACATATATATATATATATATATATATAGTTGTATTATTTATTAATTGATTAACAATAAGTTTCAGAGTCAAATCCATAATTTTTTGTAATTTTTATCCATGCTTTCTAAATAGAAATATATATTTCTTTTTAAAAAACTTACTGACATCAAGTTTTGTGTATAATCTACACCCCCAAAAACTCATATTGTTTATTGTAAATAATCAATAAAAGTAACACTTACTGTAACGTTTAATCTTTGGATGTGTCGTAATGTTTCTTTTCAACAACTGTAAATATTTTTAATCTGATGAATAATCTGGTTTCACTTCTTAATAAGCAGGATGTGAGTGCATGTGACCTGTGATTTTGACCTGCTACTTCTGTATAAACAGAGCAGAGTTCACAGATACTGTGTACCAAAGGTGACATTGAACACAAATGCAAGAAGACCTTCCTCAGACAGCACTTCTAAAAACAGCAACACAGATACAGCTAGTCTAAATCAGCACTAACAAATCTTCAACTGAACACTGCTTTATTATCATGTGTGCAAAAAAAAAAAAAGTATATTTTATCTGCCCAATGCTCTTGGAGTGGAAAACAGGAAAGTCAGAACAATGTCAATCTGAGTCAGCCTGGATTGTGTGATGTTATCAAGAAACAGACAAAAAACATGCATGCGCTCATTTCAGAAACCATCCATCCACAAATTACTGAAGTGTGCAAAAAGTGGTGTAAATGGGTCTGTAGACGTGCGACTGTGGGCTTTTTCCTCTGCAATTAAACTTGAGATGACTGAGCATTTAGACAAAACATACAAGCACGATTGTTTCTAGTTTCCTGGCTGTGACTGATGTAAGTAGTTGCCTACAAGACGCCTGCACAACAGTGAAGTTTATTCATTCAGAAGGCAAACATGATTATGAGTATGATTTTGATGAATCTCGGTTCTATATTACAGTTTTGTGCTTTGAGCAATAGAGTATATTAAAATACTGTATATTCAGACTGTACCAGTCCATCATGCACTGCCAAAGACAAGGTCAAAGAAAACATCTGAATTTGTTTCTTGATGTGAGATCACCTAGCTCCACTAAATCAGTCTGCATTTAGTCTCTGAGCTTGCTGATGTGAAATATAAAATGTATTTTGGGGATGTTTTCTTTTCTGAATTATATATAGTAAGGCCCCGAAGAAATAGTGAGCCCAGACCAATGCCAAAAAGCCTATTGTGATGTGAAGAGGACACTGACAAGGAAGTCCAGATCCAAATGCAAAGTTTACTAGCAGAATGGTCAGGCAAGCAACAGTTAACACGGGGCAAACAGGTGTATGTAGATAATCCAGAGTTGTAGTCAATAAACAGGCAGATGTTCAAAGGTAGGCAGCAGACAGGAAAAAACAATTACACAAAGATGTTAAAAATAGAAGGACACCTAACCCAAACCCTAACCAAACAAGGAAAACGCAGCGTATTGTTCAAAATTCAGTAAAACTAGATTCAGCAATGATGTGTGCGTGTATGCTGTGTATATAGTCCATGTAATCAGTACATGAGCAGCTCCCAGCCGTGAGTGTGTGTAATCTACACCTGAGATACAGGTCCATGTCAGCACTGCATGACTGGAACTTGTAGTACATATACTGGCGGATTTGTAGTCCTTAGCGATCTGTGTGTTTCCCAGCAATCTGCCAGGATTAGATTGATGGTGATTTTAACACCTTTATTAATCATCATAGCTTTTTTATAATTGTTTTATCATATGTTGTAAGATTTGTCTATAACCATTAAGATTACAATGCTATTATTCTTTTCTATTATTCACTTTCTGTGCCCCCTATGAATAGTTCCTTCCCTTGCTGCACATGCAAATATTTATATTCAATTACAAATCACAAGTATGGCTAATTAACTGTACATGGTTTGTGAGATTGTTTTTTATTTGTGAACTTATTGTATTTAACATTAATCTTATTTTACATTAAGAAGGTTCCACCTAAAATATATATTTCAGCATGCAGTTTATTTACAAAAAATTTTGAATCTATAGAGAAAAAATATCTGTAAAGAAATATTGTATTTATTTATTTATTTATTATAATTCATTCATTCATTCATTTTCTTGTCGGCTTAGTCCCTTTATTAATCCAGGGTCGGCACAGCGGAATGAACCGCCAACTTATCCAGCAAGTTTTTATGCAGAGGATGCCCTTCCAGCTGCAACCCATCTCTGTGAAACATCCAAACACACATTCATACACTACAGACAATTTAGCCAACCCAATTCACCTGAACCGCATGTCTTTGGCGCTTCAGTTCATGCATAAGCATTTGAAAATGTATTTATTTTCTAATTCAGCCTGTATGTTTCTTAATAATTTAGCATTTTAAATGGTATTTTTGGTCAAATTCATTGTTTGATTAGCATTTACCTTTCAGTTGGATCTTGGTCTTCTTTTATTGTTTTCGTTAATATGTTTTGTTACCTTAAATATGTTTTTATATTTGCTTAAACTTCAACTACAGTCATTTTTTTCAGTTTTTATTAACACTCCTATAGGGTTATTTTTTATTTTTGTTTTAGTTTTGTTTGTTTTAATTCCTAAATTTAAACTAAATTAAAAATATCTCTGTTAAAAAGATAAGATTAGAAATATCTTTTTTTGCAACTAGCGAAGTAGAAGTTTTTTTGTTTTGTTTTGTTTTAATACCTATTCATCTTTTTTTCAGAGATCTTATTTACGTCAAACATTTCTTTTTATTATTATTATTATAAGGAACAAATTGATATACTTTTTGTATGAAGATTTATAAGATAACTATATCATACTGGCTTATCAGGCTGAGTTAGTGGTTGTTTAATAATTTTACTGAACACAATCTTGAGTAAGTGAAATTCAGTGAAAATACTTATATTACATTGTTCTCATTCTCCCCCCTCTCTCTCTCATCTCTCTTTCTCATCCTCTACGCCTCTTCCTTCCTTTCCCACCCAAAGTATGAGTGTGGAGTAAGCAGAAGAGAGGGTAGTTTTCAGCGTGTCAGCAGCACAGATTTCCACGCGCAGACTGAATCAGTGCGCCGACAATCATAGCGATAGTAGAAATGTGCAATAAGGAGCATCGGCGGCTCGAGACCTGGAAGATCCCACTGGAATGACAGATCCTGTATTTGGATAAAATCTAACGGATTACTCGAGAGACAAAACAAGATTACAGATATGCTGCGTTTAATCTGCATTTTATTCCTCGTTAACCTCTCTGGTAAGTAGACTTCTGAAGCTTTATTCTAAAAAAAGTGTCATGTTGTGTTCACATAACTGGCTTGTAGGGTCATTCCTTTATCAAAAACAACCGGAAGGAAAATATATATTTTAATCTATATTGTAGTAAATCGCAGACACCTATGGTATGACATGAGTTGATATTTGACATAGTGACTTAATCCAGGTTATCCAACTTTAAGCATAATGGTAAATGTTTGTGATTGGTTTAAAAGGAACTGATCCAATCCAGTTTGTTTCGTTGTATATGGCTGTTTTGCATATATTTTGAAGGTGGGTAGTCCATCAGTCCAACATTGTTCCACTGTAAAAAAATAAATAAAAGTATATGATCAATTAGTCATGACAGAATATGTTTTTAGTTCGTTGTAACTTGTTAACCTAAGTTACTCATGTTCCAACTTAAGTTATAGGTTACGCAAACTGTTTTAAGTAGATAAGTTTAATATAAGTTCGATGGAGTCCTGATTTGATTCAGTGTAGTCGTTATTTCTCCTCTATTCTAAAATCGGATCGTGTGATTTGGTAACTTAAAAAAAAAGATTGACTGTATGGGAAGCTAGATAATCTAGCAGTAAAGTTTTGAGCCAAAAGTTATTATGCAACTACAAAACATTTTTTTTTTCCATGAGTGGTTTTGTATTTTGTATGCTAGTTTTTAAAAAGCTATAGATCAAAAACGGTTTAGGGGTATTATTTTTATTAAGGATTAGAAAAGTGTAATTATTTAGTTCTAGAATTACAAAACACACACACACAAGCATTTCTGACAATTCTGTCATCACTGTATAAACTACACACTAATGGTCAAAAGTTTGGGGTCAGTATGATTTTAAAATGTTTTAAAATAAGCTTCTCCTGCTCACCAAGGCTACGTTTCTTTAATCAAAATACAGTGCAAATTGTTAGATTGTGAAATCTTATTACACTATAAAATAGTTATAAACTGGTTTTAATTTAATTATTTATTCCAGTGATTTTAATGATGATTTTTCTGCTTCATTACCCCAGTCTTTAGAGTCACATGATCCTTCAGAAATCACTCTTAATTATTATTATTATTATTATTATTATTAATTCTATTCAATTCAGCTTTATTTGTATAGCGCTTTTACAATGTAGATTGTGTCAAAGCAGCTTCACATAAATGGTCATAGTAACTGGAACAGTGTGGTTCAATGTTAATAATAGAAGAAAAATTGAGTAGACTAATCATTTCATTTAAAAATGCATACAATAAGTAATATATTTAATTAATAAATAAGTATTTAACAATTTTACATACTTTTTTACATTTTATAAAAGGCGTCTTGATGAACAGAATAATTTTCTTTAAAAAAACATGAAAAAACACCCCAAACTTTTGACCGTCAGTGTATACATTTAAATATATATACACACACACACACACACACACACACACACACATATGTATACAAATACATATATAAACTGAATAAAAGTTTTGCAGTGATATGGGAATGGAGATATAAATAAGGTAAATTTACCCAAACATTTGAATTGTCCAAAGCAGTTTAAATGTTTACTATTTCATGTATAAGAAAATATAATGTTCATATGTAACAAAAGTTTATTATTTCATTTAATAGTCCATTATTAAACTGCTGTTTCAAAAAGTCTTCTAAAAAACATGTACTGTAATAGACTGTTAAATGTCAGGTTTAGTTGAAGCAACTTACTCGAATGGTTTTCAAAAATATCTTCAGAAACGTTAAATATATTTACTGAGGTCAAGGTATCCGTCTATAAAGAGGATCTAAAAAATAAACTCTGACGTTTATTAGAGCAAAAAAGTGTGAAAACTTGCTTCTCAGCCTGGTGTTTTCATTATTTTACTCATTGGTGGAGGAATGGTGCCTTTGGATCCTCTTTGTTTCCTGATATTGTTCTTGTGTTGAGAAGGGCACAGAGTGGCAAAGAGCCAGGGGGAAATGTGTCAAAGCAGGAATGTGGATGTTTCTCTAGTGCCTGCATTTCTGCTGTGATTTTGCTGTAATTTAATGTACATAAGCAGCAATCTGTACAGAACAAGTTTCAGAAGGGGTTCAGCTGTAATGACTGAGGATATTTACTTTCTATTGATCGCCATGTTTTTTTCATTTCAGCAGTTGTTTTCCAAATGTTGCCGGATGATTGGATTGCATTAATATGTATGAAATATGTCCTCTTCCAGATGCTGTCATGGATCTCACCATGACCTCTAATGGGGCCACATCTGCTAATCATTTCCACCTCTCCTGCATTTCTGGAGAGCGTGACACTGATGGCATTCAGCTGAGCATCAAAAAAGACAACAGCATTGTTCTTCGTGCAGATACCCCTAGTTTCAATCTTCAGAGGCCACAGACAAAAGAAGTGGTGGCTACTGGATTTACAGGTTTTGACCACAGTGGGATTTTCTACTGTCACTCAAAAAGAGGATCAGACCAGCTTGGCAATGTTACACTAATTAACAACTACAGCAAAGGTATGATTTTATGAGCAAAAAACATGTTTTGGAAAACACCACTATTATTGTCTTAAAGTGTAACCACAAATTTGTGAATCAGAGTGGTATGGGTTCAGTCTAGACATGCTCAAATACTCGAAAACCAAAAACAAACTACAGACCTTTATTTGCACAGGCATACAATACCCAGCAAACAATTTTGTGTTAAATAGACATCTAATAGACAGCTAAATGTAGACAGCTTGGCTAAACCAAGGCTAAACTGTCAGTGAAAATCTAATAGACATTGATCACACTTTATTTAGATAGTCTGTTTGTTGAATATAATTTTCATTGCATCTGTCAACTAATTCTCATTATTATAAGTAGACCGTTAGGTTGGGGTTAATGTAAGTTAATTGGCATGTACTTGCATAGTTTCTTATAGTCAGTTAAATGTCTGTTTAGCACCAGTATCAACACATATTAAGCAGTTTAAGTACTATTACTTAAATGGGCCATCGAAAATAAAGTGTTACCCAGACATCTACTGTAAGAATAGCCCAAAACTACACCAGTCATCAAACAGACAGACTATATGTGTAGTCATTCATTTCTGTTTATTTGATTTTTGGCCTATTTTTAGATGTCTATTAGATTTACACTGACAGCCCAAAGTTAGCTTTGTTTAAGCCAAGACAACTGTGTTTAGATGTCTATTTGACATCTATTAGATATCTTTTAAAAACAAAAATGCTTGATGGGTAGTCAACATTTAAAGTGGATCAAAATCTTTCATCGAAGTTGTCCTAAAACTTTTTATCAACACTTTTTGGATCCACTTTAAATGTTGACAAATTTTCAGTGTAAATAGATTTTTTTACAAGTACAAAGAACAAGAACTTTTCAAAAAACAATGAGACTTTTTACATTATTGTCATGTAAATGTAGTCAAAACAGTTATTGCAAATACAATTAGCAGTAATACCACAGTAGAACTATCCTCGATTCCACAAAAAAATCCTTAAAGTGGTAATCGTAGTTAAAACTTATTTATCTTTTTTTAGGATAAAGAACAATTGAATATATAAATAAATTTTTCCATCATTAAAAAAATCTTTATTTGAATGAGACAATTTTTTTTAATGAAACCTTTGATGGCAAAAGGAAATTTCTACTTTTAAGAGTGTTGTGGTCCAAAACACCACTTGACCCAGCTGAAGCAACCCTTTGGACAATGTGAAAAATATGTTGTATTCTGCTGTAAGTAAGTCATGCAGACTTGAAATTACATGGGAGTGAATAAATAATGACAGATTTTATATTTTTAAGGGAACTGCATGCCTTTAAAACAGTTGGGCAAAACAGATTGATTTGGTTCAAGTATTATTAATTTGTCAGAATATGAATCAGACTAATCAAATTGCAGAAAGGATCTTAAAACTGTGATTGATATACCAGCGTACTAATATTATTTTATCTTGTAAGGTCATTTTAAACCAGTGAGGGTCACTATGACGGTCAGTAAAGGAGAAAATGTGCATTTAATTATGGACGTCCTTGGGACAGAAAGAAGAGACATCGCTTGGAAATTCAATGGTCAGTAAATGTTTAATCTTATACTTTACGATTTAGAAAGACACATTCCCACAGAACATGCATGAGATTTTGAGGATCCCCTTCAGGCTGTAGCTGTGTCCCAAACGATCCATTTATGCACGGTGCACTCATTGTTTTATAAACTAATTTGTGTTAACACACTGACCACTGACTGATATGTTTTTACAAAAAGAAAAGAAATATAAAGTACATAAATTGGGAAGCAACTAGTCTTTTCACTAATATGTAACTGCTCACTAAGTAACTTTAAAACTACATGTCAACTAGAAGTTTTTAAAGAATTACTTTGTAAAACCCAAAAAGTGAAGGTAACTCAAACCATTTGAAGAAACCTATTGCAACACACCATTTAAGTTCAAAAACTAATCCTAATGAGTACCGTGAACTTACTTCATTTGAGTAAAAGAAGTAGTTTGAGCACACTAAAACCCAACAAATTAACTCAAACCAACTGAGTACTGTAAAACTCAATAATTTAAGGCGACTCAAACCGTTTGAGGAAACCGATTGCAACAAACCATCAAGTCAAAAAACTAATCTATATGATTACTGTGAACTTACTCTGTTTAAGTTGAAGTAATGAGGTATTTCATTACTCATTACCTTCAACACTGAGTTTAAAACTCTTTTTAATTGCGTAGAATTAACCTTCAGTAAGTTTTGAGTTACCTACACTCATTTCATTTGAAAAAGTTGACTGTTGGGTTTTACAGTGCAGCAGACTTTCTGCTGTTTTATCCAAAACATTCCAGGAAATTTAAGAGTGTACTACACACTCTCATGGGCGCGAGCTGTCACTGGGGTGGTACCTTTTTAAAAGGTACAAATTTGTAACTAAAGAGTTCATTTTGGCACCTTATGGGCATACATTGTTACCTAAATAGTACAAAAGAGTACCTCTTGCAATTTTTAGGTACAAATATATACAGTTGAAGTCAGAATTATTAGCCCCCTGAATTATTAGACCGTTTGTTTATTTTTTCCATAATTTCTGTTTAACGGTGAGAAAAATTTTTTCAACACATTTCTAAACATAATAGTTTTAATAACTCATTTCTAATAACAGATTTATTTTATCTTTGTCATAGTGACAGTAATTGATTAGATATTTTAAGACACTTTTATACATCTTTAAGTGACATGTAAAGGCCTAACTAGGTTAATTGGGTTAACTAGGCAGGTTAGGGTAATTAGGCAAGTAATTGTATCACAGTGGTTTGTTCTGTAGACTGTCGAGAAAAAAATATACCTTACAGGGGCTAATAATTGTGTCCCTAAAATGGTGTTTAAAAAATGTAAAACTGCTTTTATTCTTGTCAAAATAAAACAAATAAGACTTTCTCCAGAAGAAAAAATATTGTCAGACATACAATGAAAATTTCCTTGCTCTTTTAAACATCATTTGGGAAATATTTAAAAAAGAAGAAAAAAAATCCCTAATAATAATTCTGACTTCAACTGTATTTCTGAGGTACCAATATGGACATTTTAGTACAAATGTCTACATTTTGAAAAGGTACCACCCCAGTGACACACTGAAAAAAAGTATTCAGAGATGATTCCTTGGATTTACTCATTTTGTTTACTTAAGTGGTTGGAAACAGTTTATTTGGGCTAAATTTAAACAAACAAGTTGAATATTACTAAAATGAATTTGTTTGTTTAAATTCAACACAACTAAATTGTTTACAACAATTCTACAGACATGATTTTGTTCAGTGCAGTTCTCGTACCTTTATTTCTGAGAGTGTAGTACTCAGATGTGGGCCATTTGACATGTAGTTGCAAAATTACTCAACAGAATGTCTAAAGGTAGACATCAAAATAAAGTGTTTTAAATTTAGCACTGTAAAAAGCGATTCAAGGATTTTGCTTCAAAAAAAAGTGAGCAAACTTTAATATTCTTGAGTAAATTAACTATGTGCATCATTTAAAAAATTTAAGTAATTTATGGTGTACTAATAATGAGTTAATGCATGTGCTAATTATGAGCTAACTTTAACTACAACATGAGTCCCATAAGTTCATGTTTGAATAACAGCTACCTACCTTTTCAGTACATGATTGTTTGTTAATTATTGTAATAATTACCACATTATTTTATGCTTAATTTAACCATCATGAACTCATGAGCTGTAATATATAATTATGTCATGACTTTACTTGGAGGGGCACATCATCATTAACCCAATCTTAACTACTCATGAACTTCCAACTAATGCGTGGACACTGAATAACAACATTAACAGTTTAAACACAGGACGGAGTTCATGAGTAGTTAAGGATGAGTTAATGGTGATATGCCCCTCCAAGTAAAGTCATGACATAATTATACATTAACAGCTCAAAAGTTCATGTTGGATACATTTAGCTTAAACTTACGTTATTTAATACACTAATTAACAACCTGTACTAACAAGTAATTAAGGTAGCCGTTATTTACACATGAACTCTTGTGAATCATGCTGTAGTTAAAATTAGTTTAGCGTGTGCCTTAATCATTAATTCATAAGAAAGTAATATTTCGTTTACATATTAATACATCATTATTAATGTACTGATATTGTGAAGTATTACCCAAAAAATAATCGGTTGACAAACAAGTAATGTTGTGATTTATTTTAGGCAACTACTATTATATGACTCCTATTGCTGATGTTGAAAACCGCACAGCAGTTTTGGATCTGAAGAAAGTTGATGAAAGCTATGCAGGGATTTACAGTGCCAGCTATGTTGGAGACAGTGCTCTATATAGCGCTTGGATGCGCCTCATCGTTCGTGGTATGATTTTTTGTGTCATACCTCTATTTCAAAACATTCATGACTTTAGATTGTATATTATAGTGGATTAGATTATTCATGACTTTAGATTGTATATTATATATAATATAGTATATTATATATGTTTTATTTGTCCATTTTGCAGATTGTCCAAAGAACAAATGGGGCTCAGACTGTGACAAGGAGTGTCCCGAATGCCTAAATGGAGGTGTGTGCCATGACAAAAATGGAGATTGTGTTTGTCCTCCAGGGTTTATGGGAATGCGCTGTGAGACAGGTAAATGGAAACCACTCTCATGAAACATAAAAAATATGTCTGTAGAGACTATATGCATGTAAGAGTATTTTTCTGATTTTGCAGCCTGTCGGGAAGGAATGTTTGGTCGGAACTGCCAGGAATCCTGTAAGCCGGAGAATGGATGCCAGGGCTTGAGTTTTTGCCTTACAGATCCTTATGGGTGTTCTTGTGCCAGTGGCTGGCATGGAGATCGCTGTCGTAAACGTAAGCTGAACATGAGATCACTTTATTTAATAACTGTTCCCTACATGGTGTCATCTGGACCCTATAGAAAGGATTGAGTTCTGAAGTAAAGTTTAAACAGGTGCTGCTGGAATCTGCCAGTAACAATTCAGCCTCCATCAGTCTGACCAAAATAAACATTTCTTGCTGCTCTGTTCATTTTTCTTGTCTTTTTCAAAGTCAGTTTCCACCTCAGAGTAAAAAACAAAACATGCAAGTTAAAAAAAAAGTCTTGTACTGTTACATGAGAGGAAATAAATTGCCGTTAAAGGAAAGTCATGTTGTGTAAAAACAATGGCGCAAGTTAAAAAAAAAGTGTAACTAATATAAAGTGAGATTATGTAAGTCACGTTTTACAATACAGAATGCAATTGGAAAATAAATCCTCACAAATGTAAAAGGTAAAGTTGCAGTTATTACATATGGAACAAGCTTCTTTAAACCTTTAAACATTTGCAAACAGTTACAGGAGGCTTAAATTTCTTGAAGTACTCAGACACTAAAACATGCCTATTGTATCCTTATAAAATGCTTGTATTCATGATAAATTCCTTACCAGAAAAAAATGGAAGGCTGAGGTAGTCTTCTATTTTTTATTTTAATTTTTTATTTGATTTACTTACCATCAACTATTGTTTTAATAACAGTTTATGTAGTAAGTATACTAGTATCAATGTCATAGTGGTACACTCTCAGAAGAAAAGGTCCAAAATGTGTCTTTTAGGGTACATGTGGCGCGTCACTGGGGTGGTACTCTAAAGGGTATAATTATATACCTCTATTTTTTAGACATTTGTACCATTTAAGGGACACATTTGTACCACCAAGAAACAAATTTGTAGACACTAAAGGTACAAAATTGTACCTTATTATATTATATAGTATTTTCAGAGTAATGACCTAGGCATTTTGATCCGTTGATGACTGATTGCACAAATAAATAAATATTTGGGTTTACAGATGCCTATTTTTATTTTAAAAAATTTAGAAATATTTTATTACAAGTCACAACTGAATGTGTCAATAAATAAGACTACACAGCAAGTATAAAGCAGACATTTAAAACAGAACTATTTAGATAACAAGTAAAAAAATTGTTCACTCACTGTACAGTAAATAATCTACACTAATACAAAGACCACAATAATATTGTTTAAGATCTATAAACACATTACACAGGCTACATCAAGTACTGCACTTTATAAAGTCCAAAGTATTTGTCCTTAGTCAGAATCCTCAGTCATAAAACAAAAATTGTTATCAGCATTTTCTCTGTATTTCAGAATGAAGGCAAAAATGTTCTCTATAAATTCCTTCAACAGTGCAAAAAAACTAAAACATCATAGATTCCTAATTGTAGTTGTTGTTGTAAAACTATATATATATATATATATATATATATATATATATATATATATATATATATATATATATATATATAATTTTTTTTAGTTATTTATTTTTTATTTATTTTGCTGTTGGTAAACATGACATGTAGAGCACTCATAATTGGAAAAAGTTCTTTGATAGTCATTAGGAGCACGAGTTATTTACAAATTTATACTTGTATACTTATATGTATACAATGTATACTTATATGTTCTATTTTATTAGTACTTGAGACTAAACTGTGGTTTATAAAAGTTTTCTTGTAAGTTTAGAACTAAGGTTTTCTTTGTAAATCTACTCTTTTTAGATTCCAATACAATAAACATCCCTTTTCAGATCCAAACAAAGAGTATACAGCTAAATTGTTGCTAGATTAGACTAGAACAAGTAAACTTATGCAACAAGATAGTATGTAAAATGATGTTATAAAGTATTTCATATTTAATCGATAGAGTAAACAAGCCAAGTATACTTAAAATAAGTATATATACAAAAGATAACTACAAAGGATGTATAATTAATTATTATCATTATTATTTCGATAGCCTGTCTTGAAGGAATGTACGGTGCTGACTGTCTCCTAAGTTGCAACTGCAAGAACAAAGGCAAATGCAATCGATTTAGTGGCTGCCAATGTTCTACAGGCTGGAGAGGGCAATACTGTGAGAAATCAGGTCAGTCTTCAAGACTACTTTTCCATCTGCTTTAAAATCTGCATCGTTTGTTCCTCTTGGCGCCGCTGTCTAACCTTATCCCTCTTTCAGATCGCGCACCAGAGATTTTAGACATAGCCAGTAACCTGGAGGGAAACTTGAACTCAAGCCACAAGATCACATGTTCTGCAACAGGCCATCCACTGCCTAGCCATTTGAGCATCGAGCTACGCAAGCTGGAAAGCACCGTTCTGAAGGTGAAAGACTAATAGGTTTAAGAAGCTGCATATAAGGTGAAAGAGGGAATGTTTTAAAAAAAGTGTAAATATTGTTGTGTCTACAGATCTAATGTGGTGGCAGTCTTTTGATTCTCTACTGTTGATTACTTAGGCATTCCACACTATTTTGGACTCCAAAAAAAGCACAGCTCACTTTGAGATCCCACGTCTGTCTCCAGAGCACAATGGTTTGTGGGAATGTCGAGTCTCGACCAATGGTGGGCAGGATTCTTTGAAGTTTACCTTAACTGTGAAAGGTGAGATTACATTTTAATATTGTTTTGTTGAAACCCACATGAGCTTCATATTAGCTTCAGATGTGCAATCACATGTTCAAATCACATTCAAATGTGAAATATACGGAACAAGTTAAACGTGGCTTTCATGTGAAACTCATGTGAGCACCTGTGAACAAATGTTAAAAGTGTGGAAGTATGAACACATGGATTTTACATAGAGAGTTCACTTTAAAAGTCCATGTATAGTATGTTCCACATATTTTACATGAGATTTTATTTCTCGTTGCTTACTTAAAACTGTACTTTTTGTGATCTAGAGCCACCCTATCCAACCGCTGCTCCCAAACTGCTGTTGAGAAGTAGCAGACAACTGGTTGTAAAGGCAGTGGACAGTTATGCTGGAGATGGTCCCATTGTTTCCACTAAGCTGCTTTACAAGCAAGTGAATACAGAAGACTCATGGTCCCCCATCATAGGTGAGGGACTGTAACTTGGAAATGTTTAAATTTGGTTCTTTACAAAATCATAACAGTATACCCAATATCCAAAATAAGTCAGGCATATGTCCAGAATAAAATAGTATATATCAGTTTTGAAGTCACAGTTAGTAAGTAATTAGTATGAAAGGGCGACACCCACAATATAATTTAGATTTTTTATTAAACTGAGGTTTTTTAGAACCTTGCGTTTTTAAATTTTTTAAATGTGATCATTTTTAAAATAAAAATACAGGGAGCCCTGTTACTTGCAAATTACTTCAATTTTATTGGCTACAATTAACTAGAGAGCAAAAAACGTATGAATTCAATTGATATTAATATTTACACATGAAATCAACACTCACTAAAAATTTAATTCATTCATTTTCTTTTCGGCTTAGTCCCTTTGTTTATCAGGGAACACCACACGGGAATTAACCGTCAACTTATTCAGGCAGCATTAAGGTAATTTTTATAAAAATATTTATTAAATAAAATAAGCAACAATATCAATGTTATTTCTACCTTACAATCAGAAATCAGTACAATTTTATAACCAAAATGTGTGAGTTATTCGACAGTTACAATTTTAAAAACATTAAAAAAAAAGTTCTTTTACTGCCTGCAGTGTAATGAATATTCACAGGAAGGCAGGATACAAGTATCAATCATATAAACAAATTTTCAAAAAAATTATTGATCACATTCATGTGATACAGATCTTAGAAACCTGCGTATCAAATATGATTCAAACTGTTTGAGGTTAACATCTATAGCTGCAGCATGGTGGCTCAGTAGTTAGCACTGTCGCCTTATAGCAAAAAGGTCGCTAGTTCAAGTTCCAGCTGGGCCAGTTGGCATTTCTGTGTCGAATTTGCATGTTCTCCCCATGTTTGTTTGGGATTGAATGAGACTATATTTGATGTAGTATATGAGTGTACGTGTGAATGGGCGTTTTCCAATTCTGGGTTGCGGCTGAAAGAGCATCCACTGTGTAAAACATATGCCAGAATAGTTTGGGTGGGGTGGGGTTAAGAGCGCAGTAGTCTCAAAGAGGATTTCCAGACTTCCCTCTCCTCAGACACTATCTCCAGATTTTGCAAGGGATCCTAAGATATTTCCAGGCAGGGGGAGAGACAGAGTCCTTATTTCTCCTATTCATTATCCTGGCATAGGCTTTTCCTGAAAAGTCCCCTATAGTTGCAACACAACAACCAGACTCCCTTTTTAAAAATGAGGACACCAACCCAGTTGCCTAATCCTGACATCTACTTGATGTTGAAGAGACATGTCAGACAAGACAGCTTGCCTCACCAGAGACTTGAGGTACTGAGGGCAGATATGATCCATGCTTGCTGCCTTTACACATTTGAAGTTGCTGACTCTGTCGGTGACATCAGTTTGGGTAATAGGCAAGTTTACCCCTATGTCCCCCATCTCTGCTTCCTCAATAGAGAGTGTGTCTGTGGGATTAAGGAGATCTTCAAAGTATAATTTAACTATTCATAAACTTCACCGAATGAGGTCAAAAGTTCCCAGTTGTCCATATAAACAGTGTTGGTGAAGTACTTCTTCCATTTCCTGAGGTTGCCACTTGCCAGATGGTTTGCAAGAATCTCTTTAAGGCCAACCAATAGTCATCTCCCATGATCTTCCCAACCTTTTCTCAGGCCAGATTGCTGCATTAGCTGCAGCATACTAGACCTTCCAGAACCCATCAGCTGCCTCAGGAGTCCCACAATCCAGGACTCCTTCTTCAGCTTGACTGCATCTCTTATTTTTGGTGTCTATCACCAGGTTTGTGGTTTGCCACCGCTGCCTTACAGCTACAGCTCCTTTTAACCACATGAATAACCACTCAGTCTCACCCTCTCTCTGGATCTGGTCAAATATTTTATGGAGGTGAGATTTAAAAATCTCTTTGACCTATTGTTCAGCCAGCAGACCATTCCATGCCCCAAAAATTATTTTCCATGTCCAAAGATTGTATTGTTGTGGCCAGGGGCATTTAGGCCCCGACAACGTAGTACACAGGTGTCAAACTCAGTTCCAAAAGGGCCGCAGGTCTGCACAGTTTAGTTCCAACCCTAATTAAACACACCTGATCAAACTAATTGAGTCCTTCAGGCTTGTTTGAAACCTACAGGTAAGTGTGCTGGAGCAGGGTTGGAACTAAACTGTGCGGGGCTTCGGCCCTCCAGGAATTGAGTTTGACACCCCTGACATAGGATCATTCAAGGACTCAAACCCCTCCACAAGGATAAAGAGATGGTTCAAGGAGAGGTGATTTATTAAACGTTTAAAGTTAAGTTCATGCAGATGCAGTTGCCAAAACAATAAACATACACATGTATAACAAATAAAAACAAAACAAAACTTAAAGTTTTTGTTCTGCTACACATCTAATATTCGTAGTAAGGATTTTCTTTTGTTTTGTTTTTTTTAATTAAGTGCATGGCAGTGATCAAATCACATTACAAAACCTGAAGCCCTCAACCAAATACCATGTACGTGTACAACTTGCTCGTCCAGGAGAAGGAGGAGAGGGTCCTTTGGGTCCAGAGGCCATCATGGAAACTGACTGTCCAGGTGAGATCAGTCAAAATACATCTAAAATATATTAGTTGTAAGAAAAGAACATATTTAGAGATGAGTTTAGCATTTACAGAACCACTATTAGAATAAGATGCCCCCCACCTGTGCCAAAAAGCCCCCATTCAGCGACCTCTTTCTGATTGCGTATTCTGTGTCGCTAGAGCCCACGGCCAGACCGGAGATTGATTCCAGCTCACTGGAGGGCCGTAATGTCACCCTCAGGTGGTCTCTGATTGGCAGGTTCCGTGAGGCCAGTGGCTTTTTAGTGCAACTCTATGGACCATATGGAGAGAAGCTGTGGGAGGAAACCACCTTCCTTAATGTGCTCTCCGTCAAGCTCTACAATCTGGAGTATCACAAGAACTACCAAGCAGTCGTCCGGCTAGTAAACTGTGGCAGCCATGGGCCCCCTTCAAGACCCCATCATATTCACATCTATAAGCAGGGTAACATAAATCTTCCATGTCCCCAAGTAGGCAAAAGAAGGATAGAACAGGAGATTAATGCTAGACAGGATGTAATGAAGCAAATATGCATACTATACTGTTCAATTAAACTGGAATAGTAAAATTGTGTATGATTCCTCTCCAGGCCCTTCTTCTCCACGAAACGTCCAGGCCGACGCCCTGTCCATTAGTGCAGTCAGGCTTCGCTGGCAGCCACCTGAAGATCCCAATGGAGGCATTGTAAAATACAGCATTGAATACCAGCCAGTGGGCCAGAGCAGCTTGCATCCTTGGGTAGACACAGACAATGGCAACAAAACCACAAAAGATGTAACATCCCTCAATGGGAGCACATTGTACCAATTCAGAGTGAGAGCTTTCTCTAAGGTACCTGGAGAGTGGAGCAGCTTCGTACAAGCTCAGACACCTGGAGAAGGTAGGAGACTAGGAGAAAATACTGAAATAACAACATAAATTTGTTTTCTTATTGTCCTTCTTATTGTCCTTCCTTAATTTCCCATGTATCAGGATTATCCAGCTTTATTCCCACCACTCAGCAAGTGGGACGGCCGTTGGCTGAGGATCATCAACTTCTTTTTGCTGTGGTTGGGTCAGTGGCTGTGACTTGTGTGACCATTCTACTGGCTCTTCTGGCCCTCTTTTACATTCGTAAATCTGTCCTTAAAAGAAGACGGACATTCACCTATCAGTCTGGATCTGTAAGTAGACATGTCATTACTTTAGACTCTACAAAATGCTGGGTCACTTTAAATTTGGATTGCATATGGACAAACTCAACTGCTAGGTTAAACTATATTTTTAACTCAACAGCTGGGTTCATCCACATTTGACCCTAATTTGAGGTGAAACAACCCAGCATTTTTTAGTGTAGTTTGATCATTTTTCAGTGTTTAAAGATCACCTATGATGAAAATCAACTTTTTAAAGCTGATTGGACAGAACAGTGTATGTATAGTGTCCACTGCCATATTAGAGTGACATAAAGACAATAGTCTCTTTTTAGAATTTCCTGATGTTAAAATAGGACCCAAATCCCAGTGATTTTGAGGCTCACCAAAACATGAAGTAATAGTGCAGTTTTTCACACCTCCCAATTTGATTGACAGATGCCACGTTTCTAAAAGTACATGTACAGTATACACATGTCCACAGAACATTGTTTTTGCAAATAAACTGGGAATTATATAAAAATATTTGTTACAACCAAGGCTTATTTTGTGCACCTCATTTTACCAATCCCCTTCCTCACACGCACACCCGCTTTTCACTTTCTTCTGCAACTCGCAATGGACCTCGCAATTTACAAACTAAGCACTGATTACAACTCTTTTTCAGTTCTATACGATTTCTAAGTTAAAAAATGCTTTTAAAACAGAATATATTTGTAATAAATACAGTAAAATCGAAATGTAATTCTTAAACGCTATAATCACCTCGGCCGCATGCCGGCAGTAAATGTGCTTATATGGTATGTGTGAGTGTGTGCTGCAAACTACATTTATGTGGGACTCATCATTTCAGAAAGGCTTGAATAAACTCCACCACAAATACATGACATAAACTTAATTGGTATTTTTGACTAATGAGCTGTATTTCATCTTCTTCCAAGTCTGTCTCTGTCACTGGGCTGTTTATCTGACGAAACGCTTGATGAGAAGCAAACACGCACGTGGGATCAGTAGGCAGGAAAAAGCTTTTAAAGGATTTAAAGCCACAGGCTACAAAAACAGCTAGAGTATACTGACCAAAATGGGCAGATTCTTGTGGCTAATAAATAATCTGATGGGCATTTTGAGCTGAAAGTTTACAGACACATTCTGGAGACACCAGAGGCTTATCTTACATTTTACAATTACATCTCACAAAACAGGTAAAATAAGTGCCTTTTAATAATTCAATGCTTTGTCATAATGGGATAGTTCATCCACACAAAGAAATTAGTACTCTTAAAGATTATACTTAAAGAGTATCAGTGTTTCTACCATTGTTAAAGGGAACAACTATTTTTAATGGTAAAGATAATATTATATATTAATATATATAAAAAAGTGTGTTTGATCAGGGTTGGAGTTGAACTCGGCTGGATGGCAGATCTCCAGGAACAGGGTTGAGCACCCCTGAGCTATACCGTCCCAGAAATAAATGACCTTTTAAAATATATTAAAATAGAGATCCATCATCTCATACTTCCAAACTTTTGAATGATAGTATTACATAAATGCTAAATGTCAATGCATAATTATCCTCAGGGTGAAGAGACTATCCTCCAGTTCAACTCAGGGACTCTCACACTTACCCGACGACCAAAGCCTTCCCCAGAGCCTCTTACCTATCCCATCCTGGAATGGGAGGATATAAAGTTTGAGGATGTCATCGGAGAAGGGAACTTCGGTCAGGTCATCAAGGCCATGGTCAAAAAAGATGGGATAAAAATGAGTGCTGCAATTAAAATGCTCAAGGGTAAGACAGCAAGCCAGCACAGCATTGTTAGCCAAGGTCTGTTTTTACACGATTGTAAATTTTTTTTGCTTTGTGCACCTGCAGAGTTCGCCTCAGAGAATGACCATCGAGACTTTGCTGGAGAATTGGAAGTGCTGTGCAAATTGGGACAACATACAAATATTATAAATCTTATTGGTGCCTGCGAGAACAGAGGTGATTACGCCACCTATTGGAAAGAATTAGAAATTCACATTTTAAACACAATTTGTAACATCTAACTACACATTCACATAAATATAATCATACCATTTCGATTAAATTGACATGCAGTGCTCAGAAGTAGTAAACAAAAAATATATATATTTTCTCCATAAGCCAAACCTTTAATATAGGCGAAAAACAAGCACTAATTGAAACCTATTAAAATGAAAGTCTATTTTCATTGACAATGAAAGCATATTTGCAACAAATTCATGATTTCTTAATTCCACTGGAATTAAAGAGATAGTTGCAGGGTTTCTTGGAGTTAAGTTAAATTTAGGACTTTTAAAGACATTTTTTAAAACCTTTAGGAATGAAATTTTAGACTCATAAAAGGTTTAAGGCTAAGGAATTTTTCGAACTGCCCAGATGGAAGAGATTTTTATTTGACCTATCAAAAAAATATTTATTATAATGTAATACATTTAATAATACAATAATAAATTAATAATAAAAAATGTAAATATTTTAGATTTTTTTTTGCAAACTATTTTAAATATTGTGTAAAAACAAGCAAGCTCTACTTGTATCCATACACCTTTTTTTTCCAACATAAACTTTCCTTAAAATAAAAATAAAAAAACTAAGTTTTAAAAATTATAATAAACAAAATTTATGTTCAACAATCTGTCCAGGTTGGTGTCTTCAGCAGTAAATACATGGAGCACCTTGCAAATGTTATTGTAAGAAAATTAATTAAACTATTATGATAAATAGTTAAAATGTATCTTTTTAAATAAAAAGTTAAAAAATAATTAAGATTGATTGTTGGTCATTGTATGGGTTTTGGCCAGATAGGGTAGCTTTACATTAACAAAGAAAAATTAAGACTTGTTTAAAAAAGACCTACAACACAATATTTCAGTAAATGTAAGGCTTTTTAAGGCCTAAAATTTAGATTTTTGGGGTATTAAGACATTTTGAGACAATTTTAGAGTTTACCCAAAACTGAAAATTCGGTAACACTTTACAATAAGGTTCATTAGTTAATGCATTTACTAACATGAACTAATCATGAACAACACATGTACATCATTTATTAATCATAATTGAACATTTACTAATGCATTATTAACATTCAAGTCCATGGTTGTTAACATTAGTTAATGCACCATGAGTTAACATGAACTAACAATGAACAACTGTATTTTCATTAACTAACGTTTACTAACATGAACAAATGCAGTAGTAGATGTATTGTTCATTGTTTGTTCATGTTAGTAAATGCATTACTTAACATTAACTAATGAACCTTATTGTAAAGTGTGACCGAAAATTCTATCATCATTTACTTATCGTTTACTTGCTTCAAATCTGTTTGGCTTTCTTTGTTCTGTAAAAAGAAGTTAGTTTGAAGAAAGCTGAAAACTTGTAACTGTTGACTTCCATAGTATTTGTTTTTTCCTACTATGGATGTCAATGGTTAGAGGTTTTCTAACATTATAAAGAAAATAATAAAGGTTTGGAGTTTTTGGTAAATAGTGAGTACATTTTCATTTTTGGAGTAAACTGTCCCTTTAAATATGCCATTTTGGTGGGTTTTAAATGACAAATCAAACAAAATGTCCTTATAAGAGAGCAAAAGAGTTATTAAAGTTTCACTTTTCTTATCACTCATGTTTTTTTTTTTTTTTTTGTTATTTTCATAGAGAATTGTTTAGTAGTGCAGATGTGACAACTTCTTTTACCTACAGGTTACCTTTACATTGCTATTGAATATGCACCTTACGGAAATCTTTTGGACTTCCTAAGAAAGAGTCGAGTCCTAGAGACAGATCCAGCCTTCGCCAAGGAGCATGGCACAGCTTCAACACTCACTTCCCAGCAGCTCTTGCAGTTTGCTGCTGATGTAGCAACTGGCATGCATTACCTGAGTGACAAACAGGTACAGGTTTTTCAGTTCATAAAAGTGTATATTTTAGAAAAATAATGTGGACAGGCACAACTCTATGAAACAGTGACCAAGTAATTTTGATATAATTCATTAAATACACACTTTAATATAATTTTAATAAAGTTTACTGAATATTTTTCAGTTTAATGATAGCACTGTAGATTATATGGAACTTTAATGCTATTATTATATTGCTAAACTGTGTCTGGTTGTTTTTGTTCACATTTCAACAGTTCATCCACAGAGACTTGGCAGCCAGAAATGTACTTGTCGGAGATAACCTAGTTGCAAAAATTGCTGATTTTGGTCTCTCACGTGGTGAGGAAGTGTATGTGAAAAAAACCATGGTGAGGACTTTGTTTATAAAAGTTATAAAACAAATTCAAATGCAAGTCATTTATATATAATATATGTGAAGTAGTTGAATACAGTTGAAGTAAAAATACAAAAGTTGAATAAAGTTAAAGTTACTCATACAGTTGGTTAAAAGTTGCTATCTCTCTGTCTCAGGGAAGACTGCCTGTGCGATGGATGGCTATTGAGTCTCTAAACTACAGTGTCTACACCACCAAGAGTGATGTGTAAGTGCATTCTGTAGATTTCAGCTGTTATGTTTTTTTATAGAGTTAACATTGCTATCTGGTGGCATTTTAACTAAATTTTAAACTGATCTTTTTTTTTTTTAATTGAACAAAATGTGAGATGAAGGAGTTTATTTTCTGTGAAAAGAGTAATACACCAAGTACTGTGCCATCCCCATGTTTTCGTCCAAAACAACATGCCAACATCCTTCTCAATTTGTAATGGGCAACTGATAAATAAGCAGGAAGGAACTGATAACATAAAACCAGGAAGCTCAAATTTAGAGAAACATGTTCTTCAAGACCACAGTGCCCGTGTCAAAATGACCTATTTTTACCTACCCAAGAACACTGCACTCAGTGCACTCTGCACATTTTCAAAACAACATGAACAACAGAAAATACAAGCATAGTTTTCTCCATTAGATTGACTTTTGCTGATTTCCCACAGAGGCTGTGGATTGTTTTTACATTTAGTCATTTAGCAGACACTTTTGTCCAAAGAAAGGCATTCAGGCAATAAACACAAGAAGTGCTGATTATACAAAGGAACTGCTAGGCTTTAGTGAATTAAGTGCTAGAGTAAGGAGAAGAGTTTCTACAGGTAGTTTGTCAAGCCCACTCACCAAATGTCAAGCACACTTCATAAATGCACAGGTTGCTTGTTTTTAGCGATATTAAGTAATTTTAGGAAAGTGTCTGATGCAAATGTTAAAAAAAGGTGGTTTGTCAAGCCCACTCACCTAGAAAAACTAAAAAAAATGGTGTTTAAACTTGCTTTTGAACTTTTATTTATAAAATAATCAAAAGTATCAGTATTCAAGATTATAATAAAAACAAAAGTTAGATTATTAAATTCAAACTCAGAATTGGAGAATTACAAAAGGACTTCGAAATAATTGTATGACAAAAAGACTGTAATAATTCAGTGTGATATTGTGTTGCAGTTCAACAGCATAATCATGTGTATTAAAAATAAAATCAAACACGGAGAGTCTCTAAAACCCTTTTGTACAAAGAACTATTTTCTTCCTCCATTTATTTATATCTGCAGCTGACCGTCAGAACTACAGAAACCGTTGCTTCACAAATGTCGCTGTAGAGCTAATGTTTAAATCATTCATAATGTCTAAAGTAATGACAAAACAGGCCATTTTTGCCCACATTTTAAGATTAGGAGGCTGAACGGCATGAAGTGCCATCAATCTACAGATATTTCCCAGTATTTTTCTGTAGCAAACCGGATATCCTAATAATTAACCAGGGAAAAGCCAAAGCAAATCAAACACTACCAGGTTCTGTGATATAAATACAGCACTACAAAATACAAAAGAGAGAAATCGACTCTGATTGTCATTTACCTGACATAATGGTTTGTTCAGCTGTAGTTTGAAACTTATGCTGAGAAAATGCTGTATTTCTCCCCTAAGGACTTATTATGCTGTCTACCAAAACGTCACTTTCTTTGATTTGCTCAGGCTGATGCACTGAATCTGATGCTCCAAAATTATAAATATCTTATAAATAGGTACTATCCTTATAAATAAACTACATTCAATACATTACGTTGTCCAACAGCAGCAATATTTGTCAAACTGTCAGTTTATGTCCTCTGCTTGTCGATGTATGTGGGCGAGTAATACACAGGGGTGAAGGGTTAGGAGGCTATATATATATATATATATATATATATATATATATATATATATATATATATATATATATATATATATATATATATATATATATATATATATATATAAATTATACTAAAATAAAATCTAATATATTTTAAAATGAAATCTTATATAAATGTTCTTAATGAATTTTGATCTAATAAATGCAGTCTTGTTAAGCATAAAAGCTTTCAAAATGTTTCAGAGCACAAACATTTCTAAAAATTCTTGTTTATTTTGAAGTAATCTGCTTTACATTTAATTATTTCTCTGAAATGGGGCGAATTTGAACAAGGTGACTTTGTCAAAGGACAGAACAGATGTCAAATCCTATTATAGTCATTAATTAAATTTCAAACAAATATAGTATTTACTATGCAGTATGCATTTTGGATGTACTTTATATACATTACAGCTTCATCACAATTATGCTGATTATTCTTTAATTGAAATGTCTGCCTTTGGGCTTTCAGATGGTCTTTTGGAGTTCTTCTATGGGAAATAGTGAGTTTAGGTAAGTGTGTTACTAGTTTCAATGAATTGCTCTCCACTTCCTCTTTGCATATTAAGCATGTTCCAGCCAGGTGAATTAGATGAGTTTGTTCTCCTCTAGGTGGGACGCCATACTGTGGGATGACCTGTGCTGAGCTCTATGAGAAGCTTCCCCAGGGATACAGAATGGAGCAGCCCAGAAACTGTGATGATGAAGTGTAAGCAGAAGATTGATCAACTGAAGCTGTAGTAATATTGCATTTATTATCACTGATATATTTACAATTATCCATGCAGGTATGAACTTATGAGGCAGTGCTGGCGAGATAGACCTTATGAGCGACCGCCATTTTCACAAATATCTGTCCAGCTTAATAGGATGCAAGAGGCACGGAAGGTAAGCGAAAAACAGACAGATGTTTCACAAACTGTACTTAAAACATTTTTGGGGGGGAGTGGTTGCTGTATAGATATAGTAAGGTGAGCAGATTTCTGAAAAAGAAACCAGGGACATAATTCTATACAGTGGTCAAAATTTCACTCAAATCTGTTGTTCATTCATTCATTCATTTTCTTTTCAGCTTATAAGGTCTGATTTCTTTAAAAGTCAGTGAACTGTAGGTAACAAACAAGTCTCAATGAATCAAGTACTCTGATTAGGTGTTTAATGACGGTTGGAACTAAACTATGCAGAGCTGTGGCCCTTCAGAAACTGAGTTTGGTACCCATGGGCTACACTGTCTTTCATCTTGTTTTATGCTTGAACAACTAATTGAATGCTTGAGTCTATTTTACTAAATCTATTGTAATGACATTACAACATCGATGCTGTAAAATGAACAGTATGAAATTTAAAATAATCACATTAAACTTTCACTGGAAATTTTTATCATTGGCTAAAAAACACTGAGGTGATGCACAGTGGGTAGCACAATCGCCTCACAGCAGGAAGTTCGCTGGTTTGAGCCTAAGCTGGGTCAGTTGGCGCTTCCATGTGGAGTTTGCATGTTCTCCCTGTCTTCGCATGGGTTTCCTCCGTGTGCTCCGGTTTCCCCCAAAGTCCAAAGACATGGTACTGGTGATTTGGGTGAGCTACATTGGCCATAGTGTATGTGTGTAATTGGGTGTGTATAGGTGTTTCCCAGGGATGGGTTGCAGCTGGAAGGGCATCCGCTGCATAAAACATGTGCTGGATAAGTTGGCGGTTCATTCTGCTGTGGCGACCACAGATTAATAAAGAGACTAAGCCGAAAAAAAAATGAATTAATAAAAAAAATCACTAGATTTGCATATACCCCCTTGGTGTCAAACTGGCGTCAAACTGACATCTAACATCTGTGTTAAAAAGCAAATGAAAAATCAATTACAGGATAGATGTCAATAAATGATTACAGGACTGTCCTGTAATTGATTTTTGACATGTTTTTTGACATCAAAGTTGGATGTCATTTTGATGTCGAGTAGTGTCGAGATACAAAATCCAGTGTAAATTGTAAATTTGAAATTAAAGCCATCAGATAAATAAAACTTTTCTTATATTAAAATACTTTTTGTTTTATTACTTTGGTGGTCAAACGGGCACAAATGTGTGAACATCACAGATGTCAATGTTTTGACATCAAATTAATTTTTGCATTTTTGATCATTTTTATGACGTTTATTCATAAACTCATTTCAAAAAGATCACATGCTCAGACGATTCCTAACTCACTATAAATAACCAGAGTTTCTTTTTCTTGAAGAATACCCCCTCCCAACCCTACTCCTCCCTCCTTTTTATAGATTGGGCGACATAGCTGTCACCTCACAGCAAGAGTGCCACTGGTTAAAGTCTTTAATTGACCAGTCAACATTTCTGTGGAGTTTGCATGTTCTCCCTGAGCTCACGTGGGTTTTCCTCGGGTTTTCCGGTTTCCTCCTACAGTCCAAAAACATGTGACATAAGTAAATTGACCATACCAAATTTGCACCATAGACGAGCTCTTAGTAAACAGTATATCTCTCTATAGCTATCCCTAAAATATTTCACTAGTCACAAAAAAGCAGAGGAGTTCTCAAGATCTACCTGAGCTAACACTCCCCTCTCACCCCCCTAACGGGAGAGAGCCCAGAACTTGAAGATCTTATAAGCTCAGGCAGGCCCGGATTAAAAATTCAGAGGCCCTCAACCTAGCCCCTATAGTTGAATTAAAAATATTATTAATATAATATGTTTTAAATAAAATTGATCTATAATTGCCTGCATTTTTTATTTAAATGATATACAGTACATATATTTCTAGTCTACAAATATTTACCTTATTTTTAAAGCATTTAAAGTACACTTCGGAAAAAAATATACTAATACAACTAGTAAAAATTAATTTAATATACTTGTTTAAGTTCAGTGAATTAGTACTAAAAATTTATATTTAAGGGTATTTTTATGTAGCCTAAAACTTCTACAAACTTATAATGCATATGATTTGGATAACACCTCTCCAGTCCAGTTGTATGAATCTACGTCTTCCATAATACACACACTTATTAATGCTTCCTATTTGTCTTCCTCGTGATGAAGAATAGGCAAAATCGGATATGTAGTGAGGGGGGAAAAAAGAAAAACGTGTTTATTAGCAATGGATTTAAACTGGGTTCATGATCGATCATGTCAAAAGATGTTATCGGTTTATGAGCTACGCCCCTCTCGCGTATGCCAGATGAGCTCTTTAGTTATGTTGTCTCTGTCAATCTTACGCTGTCATGACTTAACTATCTTATTCCAATGAGGTGTGCTATTTGCACTTAGCCTAAATAGACCCTCCAAAATAGGCATTATTTTCCCCCCTCGCAGGGGCCCCAAGTGCACCCGGGCCCTTGGGCCTGTGCCCATAATGCCCATTGGTTAATCCAGCCCTGACCTCAGGGCTCTCTCCCTGGACACCATGCCAAACACGCTTTATAATGATTCATCAGCTATGAGTGAACTCTTGAATGATGTAATTTTGCTGAGTTGTGCTTTTTTGCTCCAGACCAGACAATGGAAGGTTTTGCTAGGCTTTGCAATGTGATATCACAGTTGTCTTTCCTCAGTGCTAGTTCTTTGGCATTGGTGTGGACCCTAAAAGCTGTTTTGGAAAAAAAAGACCTGAAATCGAATAGATTTCCGTATATTTGATAGTTTTTCAATATTCCTCATGTAGCACAAACATATTCCATTTGAGCTCCAATTAAGGTTATTTATTCAGTTCCCCCTGCCTGTTCCCTCCAAACCACTACTTCTTTTTTGTATTCTAGGCTTATGTCAACATGGCTCTCTTTGAGAACTTCACTTATGCTGGAATAGATGCTACCGCTGAAGAGGCCTGACTACTAGCCCCCCCAGACCCAAGAAGGGGTCATAGCCCAAGGGAGGCTAATCGCAGTAGGGCTCTGCGTTACTGTCACTTCCCTGTGGCCAGGTTCCATCATCGCTCAAAGAGACACTCCACCAAGGCCACATGGCTATAGAGAACAGACTGTGAAAGGACACTTCAGATTCAGGAAGGATTGATATCTCAGGGCATGTTGACCTTGGATTACTCAAGAGGAAATGGAACCTACGATATAAGCTACCATTGTAGCGCATCGGGTCTGTGGGGACTTTGCATTGACATCTTTTTACTGGGAGGTTTTTGAAATGTAAATAAATCAAATGCAGTTCATACTATGGACAAAGGCGCCAGTATTATTAAATGTAGCACTTGAGAAAACGATGCATTATCCTTACTGAAAGTCATCTGTTCTGCTCATAAAATTAAGATTTGCTGTTAGTTTACTCATTTTCAGACCATCCAAGATGTACTGTGCATGAGTTGTTTTCTTCAGTTGGTAAGATGTTTTCTTCAGTTAAAAGTTTTCTGAATCTGTCCTTGGTGGCCCAGAAAACGCAAGTCAACCTCTATATGCAGGACAAAATTAATAACCTATGCTAATTGAGCTTTTGTGAAATGAAGCAATTGTCTGTGCAAGAAAAGGAACTATGTTTATAACCTAGTTTTCCTTAAATGGGTGGTCCACAGTGTATTTGTTTAAGGCTTGGCTGTGGATGCAAAGCAACTTCATTACTACTTAAACATTTAACATAGTTCATTAGTAGAAAATCCTAATATTTTTTCAGATATCTTACCTTGAATATATACAGCTACTCTGCTAACATGAAAACGGCTGTCATATTTCCTAGTTCCTCCAAAAGCCTGCCCTCAAGAGGCTCTGATTGGTAAGCTAACATAATGTGATGTGATTCACGAATTCAGCTCCACGTCTCCAGGAAGAGTCACGTCCAGCCACTAGCATGCGCTGTGCCGCTGCTGTGTAAATACTGCCTGTCAGTGTAGCAGCTGTGTCAGTGTGAGCCTGAATTAGACAGAAAATGAAGAGGATACAGCTGAACCTCATGCCTGCTCTCTAAAATAAATCTGACAAACATCTTTCATATATCGGGTTATAAGCATGTGTATGTAAAATGAAACATTCACATATCTTTTGTGAGTTCGTTATTTGAGATGTATAATGCAGGGAAAGCGGCCGCGTAGAAAGACACTGCAGCACTGGTGAAGATTGTAGGTGCTTACAGGGGTTTGATTTATATATATGAATTTGTAGCTAAATTGTTAATGGTGCCAAACAGCATTTCCCATTGTTTACATACCTGTTTACGTCCTTGCTACAACACCATTAACGCTAGACACTATGCATGTAAAAGATCAATTTCTACAAATTAAAATACTCACAGGTTGTGGCTCACAATCCACAGCTTTGTCTATTATGGTTGGAGCTGCTTCGTCTTCGAGTGTTTTTAGTCGAATCCAGCACAGAACAGGGAGATATTCTGGAAGCTGTCCTTTGTCCAATGCTAGCTATATATATTTTTTTTATAATTCTCTGGAACATGATTAAATTTAACTGTAAGCACTTCTGTCTTTGTGTCATGCCCTTTGGAAGCTCAAAAACAAACAAAACGAGCTCTGTGGAAAAAGCAGCGTTTGAACAGGATTTTAGCTTTAACATTACAGCGCCTCTGGCCACGCTCCTTCGCTACGCAGGGTGTATGCCATGGTGAATAACGTAAAGCATTTGTGATCTCACTAATCCAGATGTATTTTTTGTAGTCCCAAAATTCATCCGCTGTAGGCTTTGCTAAGCTAACTCTGTAAAAGCCAATGTCTTCTTTTTTTACTGAACTTTGAGTATATTACAAGTTACAAGAGATTTTGTTTATGTTCACACATTACACTTTAACTTAAGTTTAAAATAGGGTATGGTTGGGGACCACTCCTTTAATGTGTGTCATGACTTTATAGAATGTGTAAGCTTTCTAATGCGTGTAAATTGTTGAAATTACAGACGTCTCAATGAACCATCAGTAGCCATGATTATTAATTTTGTTTTACCTGTATGCTTACCTGTATGAACTCACAAAGTGCCTGTAACTATTGACTTACATTTTATGAATAACCTGGAACCACAATTTCAGCTAAAAATCTTCTTCAATGTTGTACTGCTTAAATGTTTAATTTTGGTTAAACTATCACATTAAGTAGTAGGTCAGTGTACATAATGTTGATATTGTTTATCAGACCATACAAAAAACACTGAATAGGAATTCCTCCTTAATTGTAAGTCGCTTTGAAAAATGCATCTGCTAAATGACTAAATGTATAAATATTTTACATCTATGTTGCTTTTTACATATGACATATGTTTGCCATGATTTAACCATCCAATAAGAATTTAAAGAACGTTAGAGAATGTGTTTACTTTGATAAATAAAGCATCGTCTTGGTGACAGGACTCATCACAAAGGCCTTTGAAGATGAGCAGAAACACTCCACTGATATGGAGCAGAAAGTACTGACACTTTCTTTCGTTTTCTTCAAGTAGTGGGCTTGAGGTCAAACCCCTTCCCTGCTGCAGCTTGCTGATCTGTCAAGAACATTTCCTCCAGTTCTGCCACAGGCTCAAGAGCTGTCAGTCACAATACTGCAGCTTAGTTTCCTTCTACAAAAACCTAAAAAATGTCTCCTTAAACTCCATTGTGAAGTGTTGCATTCACTTTATTTACTTATTAAACGCTTCATTTTTGTTAGGCAAAAATCCTAGTTTGGTAGTATTTTTGGTATTTGGTGTCGCCATTAAATGTTTTTCCATATTTAAGCAAAACAAAATGGCAAATAAACCTTTTTTGTTTACAGAGGAAACATTGAAATATTATGCAGTAAATCAATAGTTTACGTATCAAAAACATTTTTGAACAAGAATTGTATGATGATGAATTTTAAAAGTAATACAAAAATTTTTATATATAGAATAACAGTGAAATATTATTTTACACAAATTCAATATTTTGATAAATGTCATTTAAAACAAGATAAGGTATTTCATCTTTTCATCTCTTCTTATTTTTCCATCGATACAAGGATGTTTAATAGTGTGGGTTTTCATGTTGGTAACCTTTTAAAATAAACCTCATTTCATGATGTATCTTTGACAGCAGAAAAAAAAGAAAACTCAAAATTATATTTTGTCAGATGCCTTATTTATATATACAAAAGTGCAAATCTTATATTTTAATTAATGATTAATGATAAGGTAATGTAATAATATAACATATTATGTAATAATATTACTTTTCTAAGTAAAGAGTAAAATAAAGCATTAATTTTCAAAAATAAATGGCACCTATTTTTACCTATTTTTTAGATTTATAATAAGTCTTTTGTGACTCCAGAAAGTGTCTGTAAAGTTTCAGCTCAAAACACCCATCAGATGATTTAATTTATCTTTCAGAATATTGGAATTTTCTGCTTTGAACAATTTGTAGCTGTTTTTGTTGCCGGTGTCTTTAGATGTCCCCGCCCACCGTTCCCACATGCCTGTCAGAGTGTGCCTCAGTCTTCGCCTTGGCTGTGTCAGATAAACAGCACAGTGACAGACATGAAGGACGCAGATCTCATGAAACTTTTGTGAAAAATACTACAGTAAGAACTTTCCCATTGATTATTTGATGCATTTGTTGTGGAGTTAATGAGTTGATGAGAACGATGAGTCACACACAATGCCGTTATGCAATGTCATAAGTTCACGCATACACGTTTAACTTTGTACTGATTTTGCTAAGCTAATGTGACAGGATACACTTTAATATATACTTCTGTATGGATATCTGTTATGTTAATGAAGCATTTTTATAATTGTACATGTGGCTGTGGTGATAAAGACGGTAAAATCACTGTTCCCCGGATGGGGAACTTTAAGGCTATAGTGGATTTAATCCACTTGTGGGGATTTTTGTGAGGTGATCTCTCAGGTTGAGCGCGCCATTACGGTCAATCTTTGTCCGCGTGGTGCCTCATCTTGGCAGGGTCCGCCTCGTCTTCCGTCCAAAGCCTGTAGGTTATCTGTCTCCCTCAGAGCCAGAGCCTACAAGGCTGCGGGCCGGGCTGCTTCCGCCTTGCACGCTATGGCCACCTACCAGCATTACCAAGCGCAAGCGCTGGCTAAGCTGCACGAGGGTGGGTCTGACCCAAGCTAGTTACATAAACTTGTAAAACTCATTCTTGATCACATTTGATTATGATTGATCATCCCAGAAAGCTGAACAGATTTTCTAATGCCAATGGCTTTGCACATGTCGTGTCTTTTCCTACAAAATCCTACAGAGACATGCGCAGCTGTCAATCAATTCAGTGGGCGGTGAAACCGCACTTCTACGTCTCATTGCAGTGGGCCTCAAAATGAGAGGGATTTGGATCCTATTTCAAAAAGAGACTTATTGTCTTTATATCACCTCAATATGACTGTGGACAAACTATAACACAGTTCTGTCCCAACAGCTTACAAAAGATAAAAAAAAATACTTATTTTAAAATGTAATGCAAGTTACTTCTTAGTTTAGTTAATTCTCTTTTAAAAAACTAATTGCTGAATTAAAATTAACGTAGTCACATTGAATACTGCACACAAAGAGAGAATGCAGCAACAGACAGAAAAATAGCAGAGCTTTACATTTCTGTGATAAAAATATTCTCATTGTTTTGAGTGCTTGAATAAAGAAAAGGAATATAGGATTATGTGAATGGACAGTGATTTTACTTTCTATTTAGACAAAAAGTACAAAAGTAGCAAACGCATTGCTTTAAACATTCATTAATCTGTATGTAAAGCTCTGGGATCATGAAGTTCTCTGAAGATAACATTAAACTAACTACAATATATATGTTTTTATTTGTTTGTTGTTTGTTGTTTGTTTGTTTTTTTAAGGTAAATGAAGAATGTACAGTGTGTTGTTTATTGCAGAGCTTCTCTATTTAAAAGAAGAAGAAGTAGAAGAAAAAGAAAAACCTGCAAGTTCTGAAAGAGAGCAAGCCTCAGCCAGGTCAGAAAAAGTAATGCAAAAGCAACTCAAAAGTAACGTAACACATGACTTACAATAAAAAGTAACCAAGTAACACAACTACTTACTTTTTGGGGGAGTAACTCCATATTGTAATGCATTACATTCTAAAGTAACACTGATGAATAAAATGATAATTAAAGGTGAAAAATGATAATATAAATGAATATCAATGCTATAAAATACACTCAAAAAATGGTTTGCTGGTTGTTCAAACTACTTAACTAAACTAAACTAAACAAAAATGACCTGAATCAACTCAATTCTTAATTATTATTTTTTGGGTGGAGGGTTGGGGGAAAATTAAGCAAACTTAATTGCTTAATTTGTTCAATCTACTTAAATTAGCCTACGTTAACTTAATTTGTGTAGGGACAATATGAAGGAATTGTGTGTAACCCAGCATTTTTACAGTGTAAAATAACATCTGAAAGTTTTTTATTCTTGTGTCAGCTCTTGAGTATATATTTATGTGCGTGTGAAGAAGGCTGTTTGTCAGTCAGTGCCTGCTTCATTCCCCAGTGCAACCACTTCCTATTTCATTGGGCCCCTTCAGATGACCAGTTACCAACCTCCCCGCCCTCTCCTAAAAACATTAAGCACTTGACACAAATCTATCTTATCTAGACGTTAATTTTAAGTGTTGTGTATGGACCCCCATCAACATGGATCCAGTTTTCATCTGGTGGATTTTACATTTTTGTCTTTACAAACAGGTGAATTCAGAACCTCGCCAACCAAAGCCAGGTAAGAAACACCAGTCAGGTGACTTTATTTTAGATGATTGTATTTTATGTTCATTCTGCAAAGAAGCTGATCTGTTTTTGAAGAGGAAAGTGTTAAATACAACACATTATGTTGAGCGAGCGTTTAGTAGAGAAAAGTGTAAAAGGATACATGCATCAAAACTATGCGTTTTGTTAGTATTTTAGCTACAAGAATTTTTTCATTCTTTTCAGAGTTATTGGCTATGGATGAGGACCCAAAATGTTTCACCAGGAATCTAGAAGACTTCACTTGCTTTTGGGATGCACCTGTTGAAAAGTCCTATGATTTTCTTTATATAATTGAAGGGTGAGAGTTCTGAACATTTCATCTTGTAGATTTCATTTAAATGATTGGCTCATTTACTATAAAGAAAAAGCTAGTTAGACAGTTTACTTCCAGTTAGCTAATAAATAAAGTTAATAACTGATCAATCAATCAATTAAAATAATCTAGCATACAGAGATTCCTGCAATTCTTAAATTAATTTAGAAATTGTGCAAAATGTGGACAAACCCAACAGTTGGATTAAAGTTTTAAAATACTGATGGGTTGGTTTATAAAATGCCCTTATTTTACTCATAATGATAACTGAGGATGATAACTGAAAAAAAAACTGAGGATGTTTAGAGTGCTGGAAGCTGTATACATATACATTTAAAAAAAAAGATTTTCAAGATATGAAAATCTCCAACAGCTGCTATTTCTATGACAGAATTAACAAGGCAGGCATCTTTATGATTACTTAAATAACAGTACCACCTAACATTTATGTGAAGTGCAAATCTAATATTTCAAATGACGATATAATGATAATTAAATTAAAGGTGAAAAATTATACTATATATCATATTCAAATTATTAAGAGTACACTAAAACATGAGTTTTGCTGGTTGTTCATACTTCTTATTTAAAACGAGTTAAAAATATATTATGTTGAACTTCATTGATTTTTTACAAGCAGCTTGCTGCCTGTTTATAATATTTTAAGATATGATACCAACAATCTTACAATTTTCCTCTCATATGTAACCTCCAAAACAGATTTTTTAAAAATATAAAACAAACCATTTCTAATAATATTTAATAAAATGTTAATAAAATAATAACATTAATACAATATTTAATAACATTTTGCTATTAATAATACAAAGTATTCATATTAAACAAAAACAAGCAAATGGTTGATGATTGGGTTTATGGCTGATTGATTGCTCGATTGGTTGGTTGATTGATTAGTTGATTGAATAATTGATTGATTGGTTTAATGAATAAATGATTGGTAGATTGGCTGGTTATTAATTGGTTTGTTGACTGACTCACTGACTGGTTGATAGGTTCGTTAATTAATTGATGAATCGGTTGGTTGACTGACTGACTGACTGACTGGTTGTTTAATTAATATTTGTTAAGTTCTACATCTGGATTTTAAACATGAATGCTCAGTTTTGACAGCACAAAAACATATGAACGAAGTCTTATCACTATTGCGTCAATCACAACTGTCATCAGTTTTAGGATACGTTGAAGCAACCATGTTTGTATCACCAGATTAATGGAAGAGAAAAGATGTGATGTGAAACAACAAACTTTTAAAGAGAAGATCCTCAACATTTGTACATTCCCACCAAGTGACGTCTACCTATATGTGGAGACACACATCAGAGTGATAGACAAAGACACCAACACCACCATCTACAGTCGAGCTGTCAGTGTGGAAGACCAGCGTGAGTAAATCTCACATGAAGCATTTACTTTTCATACTTTGCATTATGTGAATTCAGATATTTCTGCTTGTTTCCTCCACCAAGTTCTGCTATATCCACCGTCAAACATATCCCTTCATCCAACTGAAGAGGTGGGCCAAATGTTAGTGAAATGGAAAAGATCAAGCAATGAGCATGAAATTCGTTACAGCTTCAAAAACACAAGCACA